GGGGGGCTTGGCCTTGCGGGGGGGTTTGGTGGCGACGGCGGCGTCTCCGTCGGGTTTGGGGGTGCCCCCCCCCCCCTTGGGGGCCCCCCCCCCGGCCTTGAGGAGCCCCCCCCCGGCCTTGAGGAAGGGCGCTCGGCTCTCGGCGTCGCGGGCGAACTTGACGCCGATGCCGCTTCCCGCTCCTCCGGTTCCTCCTCCGCTTCCCGCTCCTCCCGGCTCCTTGCCGGGGGCGGTGGTGGAGCTGACGCCCTCCCGGATGAGCACGGACACCTTGGACTGCAGCTTCACCTTCCTCGTCGTCGTCGCCGCCGCCTTGGGGGGTCCCGGCGCCGCCGGCGTCGCCTCCTTGGCCGGCGCCGCCTTGGCCTTGCGGGCGCCCTTCTCCCGCGGCTTCTCCTTGGATTTCCCTCCCTCCACCAGCTCCTCCTTGAACTTCTTCTTGTGCTTGTCCCTGCTCCCGGCCGCCCTGTCGTCGGGGCGGCCCCGTTTGCGCTCCTTGTCCCCCCTCTTGTCCCCTCCGCGGCGCGGCGGCGCCGGCGGCGGGGCCGGCGGGAGCTGGGGGACGTCGGCGGGTTCGCGGTCGGAGAAGCCCTCGAAGCTGAGCCCCTCGGAGTCGTAGAGCACCTCCCGCTTGGGCTCGGGGCTGTCGGCGGCGCGCCGGCTCACCGTGATGGTTCTCTTGATGGCGAACAGGTCCGAGTCGTTGAGCTCCTGCACCGACGGCGGCACCACGGCCCGCGGCTCCCGGCGGCGGCTCCCGCTGCTTCCTCCTCCTCCTCCTCCTCCTCCTCCTCTCGACCCTCCGCCCTTGTCGGCCTCGGCGTCGCGGCGCGACCCGCGGCGCTCCCGGGAGCGCGAGCGGCGGCGCCGCTGCTGCTGCTGCTTCTTCTTCTTCTTGTCCCCCCGCCGCTTGTCCTTGTCCTTGCGGCCCCGCGAGCGGCCCCCGGAGCTGCCCGAGCGCCGGCGCCGCCGACGCTTCTCCCCCCGCGAGCGCGAGCGCCGCGACGACCACGAGCGCCGGCGGGAGCGGGAGCGGGAGCCGCGGCGCCGACGGTGACGCTCCTTGGACTTCGAGGAGGAGGGGGCGGCCGTGGTGGAGGTGGAGGCAGCGGGAGGCTCGGGGGGTTTTTTGGACGCCCCCCACGACGAGGAGGAGCCGCCGGAGCCGCGCTCGCGGGAGCGCTTGGGCTTCTTGCGGGAGGCGGCCGAGGGCGAGCGCGGCGGCGACGGCGGCGCCCGCAGGCGCCGCTGGCTCAGGATCTTGCGCCGCAGGTCGGAGCCGGAGCCGCCGGAGCCGCCGGAGCCGCTCTTCCAGCGCGGGTCGGGCTGGGCCTCGGCGCCGAAATCGGCCTCCTCGTCGGAGTCGGCGTGCAGCGACAGGAAATCGTCGCCGCCCTCGGGCAGCCGCGGCGGCCGCGACGGTTCCGGGGGTCTCCCGCGGGTGCCGCCGCCGGCGGCTCCGGCGGCGTTGGCCGAGGGCCGGAAGAGGCGCAGGGGGCTGAAGGGCTGCTCCTCCTCGGCCTGCACGATCTCGCCCTCCTCCACCTCCGAGTCGCCCGGCGCGGCCCAGTCGCGGCGCCCGCGGTGCCGTCCCGGCGCTTTGGGGGCGGCTCCGGCGCCGCCGCCACCGCCGCGGGGTTGGGGGGCCGGGGGCGCCCCCTGGCCCGGGGGGGCTTTGGGGTTGCCGGGGGTCACCACCTCCAGCGACAGCTTGCCCTCGAACTTGGCGTGGGCCTCGCTCTCGGAGGCCCCCAGCCCCACCACGAAGACGCGGCGCCGCGGCTCCGGCGCGGCGGGCGACGACGAGCCTTCGTCCTGCTCCTCCTCCTCATCCTCCTCCTCCTCCTCCTCCTCCTCGTCTTCC